CACTTCCATTTGTAAACTGTTGGTTTCTCCCATGTTGTTTCACTAAACCTCTAATTATAGAAATTATAAAACCCACCTATCCATTATCATGGCTCAAGAGTGTATTAAAAACAACAGACCAAACACCACGATCCGGACTTTCCATTATTAAGATTAAGACTGACAGTTTAATTGGGCTGAATTTAATTTCTGAAAGATTTACTCCCTTTTAATTACACTGCAAACAAGCAGCTTTGTGTCTGAGACCATGAACTGTCAGATTACTTCATTTTGTTTTTCACATTTTGCTTAAAACATTACAAATAATACAATATAATTAAAATATGAGACATGGACTAGACAAGTCAATAGACAATGAGTTCCTCCACTGGAGCTTCTCCTGATCCACAGGCAAAGGGAAAAATCTCTATGTTGAATAAGGGTTCCTAGCCGGGGCTGATACCACTACCAGTCTCCAATCTATGGGGGCAGGTTGTAAACAGCGCATCATGAATATGACCAGTACTCCAAGCAGCCAATCAAGTCTATAAAAAAGCTCATCTGACCCTTTGCAAATACTGCACACTTAATGAAAACCTTTGAGATCATTACAGTTACAGTTCCCAGTGCTTATGTTAGTTCTCATCTGAACTGTCAAGCCATTAAATGGTTGGTGTTGTAGTTGATCACATGTGCAGCCACATGGCAAATGCAGATCAAACAAAAGCTATGTTGGCAGCTTCCTTGGCTGTAAAGGAGAGGAGGATTTAGTTCTGCTTTAGCACCAAAGCTGCTTCCTGGGCCTTCTGATCATGTGATCCCTGTGAATGGCTGTCGCAATGATCAGATGATCTTACCACTGATCATTGCTAAGTGACCAGGAGCTAACGGTGATAGCATGGTCACAGTAGGTGGGTAATGATTGAGCGTGCCTCTAGCAAAAAATAGGTACATATATAGGTGGCAGCATGAAATAAGCTCCACCTCTGTGCTGCCACATATAGGCACATATAGGCAAACAGCCAGCAGGAAGGAGTTAGTTAAAAATAAAAATGGCAAAAAAAGAAAAAAAATATTTTGTTAGTATTATTTCTGAAATTGTTTTGTGTTTAAGAAAAAAAACCACAAAAATAAATGTCAATCTCAGTTATTTACGGCTCATCAGCAATTCTCAGCTAATGTTCCATTAAGCTGTAATATGCTGCTAATTAAAGAAAATAGTTTTTTTTTTCTTTCGACATTTGTATATTTTTAAGACTGCACATTAATAAAGAAATGAAAATAATAGAAGCTAACAAATCTCTGTAATCTGGTATTAAAATACACAGGCAGTCACCATGCAACCAACTGTTTCATGTTTGTGATGAATAGTGGAATAACCCATTGATCTGGCAGTGTGGCACCTGCTTTGCCAACTGACTCAGTTGCCTTGGTCCCTGAACCCTCATTATGTATCTTCAATTAAAGTTCATTGTCTCCTAAAATCTGTGCTGAGCAGATGCATCGCCATTTCATCAGCTGAACGCAAAGAGACCACAAATAGAGGAAACTATCACAATTAATAAGACAAAAATAGTGTAACAAATGATGCTTCTGTGATGTTTAACTGAAATGTAAGATAAATGTACAGCATACAACAGATATGGCTTAAAGCCCATACCATATTGATAGGTTTTTGCAAGAGTAAGGAAAGGAGGTACTATGCCAAGATCTGGGATTTGTTCAAAAATCTGATTTTTTTAACTCTTTCTTGATGTTTCCATTAGGTTTCACTAGCGACAGAAGTTACTTTAGTGTAACTCTTGAAACAAGAACAAGTTATCCCTTGATGACTAGCTCTGTTACAGAAGCAGCTGATATAAGAAGTTACAAGTGAAAGAAGGGGGGAGTCTTGGCAAAGCTAAGCAAATCACTAAAGAAGACTCCCGCAAACTGACAAATATTAAAGCTAAGCTCCTAACAAAAAATGTTATTTCGCCTTTGTTACTTTTTGGAAGTGTAGGAAATCTCTCCAAAGAGGACAAAAACATATTTTCCTTAGAGAACATAAGCAATGGAATTTCTCACAATGCTGTCCATGTCTTTTTGTGTTGTTGACAAAAAGTTCCATTTCTAGCATTGATGGTGACAGACAAAAATAGAAACCTGAAAGATATTTAAATGTTTTGCACACTTTATACAAAACTAAAATAAAAAAAAATGCCTGGATTTAGGCTTAAAAAAATCAACCATCTAGATATGCCTGAATGTGATTCTGTTTATCTTCTACAGTAATCTCTCTCAACCTTTCACCCAAAATTAAGTCTAAATAAATTTCAGGTCTTGGGGAACCCTTGCTAAAACCAGACCATCATAGATCAATGAGAAAAATACCATGTACATTGGTGGTCACACCGGTCAGTGGGAACAATTTCCCCTTAGGGACTTTTTAACATGGGCTTTCTGATCAACTGTCTGTTTTTTTAGGAGAACCTGATCAGAAACTCCATGTAGATCTTTGGGAAGGTTGCTGCAAATGGACTTGTGTCCATTTACACCCGCCTATCTCTAAGCTTGTCCAGGTCCAGAAAAAAGAAAAGGAAAAGGACTGCATCCTTTTTAATTTTTCCAGATCTAACTATGATGGATCAGAGGAAGCCTGGTGTAATTGGACGCAAGTCCATTTACATCCATCCAACCATAAAGCCATCATAGGTCTGCCCCTGTCCACGGTAAAAATGAGGACACAAACTGAATGGGTACGGATGTAAAAAAAACTTATGCCAAGAGGCGCTGGCCTTGGAACTTTGCAGACACCATTAGATGAGAAGCTAATCATCCACAGCTCAAGGAACCCTGGCTCAGAATGGCTGTTCTAGAATTTGTCAGAAGCCCAGAGTCTGTGATGTTCAATATACAAATTTTGACTGTCACCTTGGAAGTCAATAGTCAGGAATATCCTCCTTCAATGACATCCAATCTACTGGTCAGTGAGGCTCTGAGTATTCCTGAGTGATGAATAGATGGCGGAGGAATGCAGAGGGTAGCTTTTAGCCTGGAGACTGCCAAATTCCTATTGGGTGTCCCAACTTTATACACTGCTTGTGGACTTTAGAAAGCTACTGAGGTAGATGTATAGTATATATCTGTAATGTCCTTGGTTGGGGCATTTATCAGGCTTTAATTAAGCGCTAAGTTTCTTTTAACCAAGCTATCCAATATACTTAAAGAAATGCTTACAGAAAGAGATTTTAGTTTCCCCTGGTTTTGATAGGAACTCGTAAATCAATGGCTTTGATGTAAGACTGCAATAAAAGTAACACCCTACAGTGGAAATAGTATTTATCATTTTTGTTTCATGCTTTGGAATATGTAATTTGTTAATTGGCAGCATTCTGTTTCAAATCTGATTGCTGGTTTATATTTCAGGTAAGGCTCTCCTACATCACATAGAGCGGTTCTTATTACACTGTAATAAAAGTAAGTGCTGGTTATCTTAAGCCTTTGTGGACAGCAGGTAGTTGACATTATTGTAAGCACATTTTTACTTAAATTGCTACTGCTGAGATATAATTTGATGCTCTTTTGATACCGTCACATGCTGCTTGTAACACTAACTTTACAGTCAGACAAATTAAAGGACACATCTGTGGTACATAAGAAAATGTAAGCAAGAGGATATTTTGCCTTCAGGGTTTCATCTCGGCTTGTTTCTTTAGTATATATGCTATATCGTCTCATGTTTCACACAATCTGATCAAATGTGTAGTCTCAGAATAGCTTACAGGGATCAAATAGGAAAAAAAAAAAAAAGCATCTCCTTTAGACAACTGGGTTTCCAACTGTTAAAGAGGACCTGTCACCTACACATTGTAGTATCTAGAGGAAAACAATCAGACCTTTTCAAGGAAAAATCAGACCTTTTCAAAGGAATACAGGGTGAAATATAGGGGCTGTCATTGCTCACCCCCTGCTGAAAATAATTGTTGCCTGGCTGTCTTTATCCTTAAAGCTCAGCAGAAAAGTAGATACTAGGCACTGGGAACAAATTTTTAATGGGTGCATGAAGACATGCCCCTGACGGCTCAGGTTTAGCAAACCCTCACAAATACTGGGGTCCTCTTGGGAAAGGGAGGTCAACAGCATTGAGAATTAATGAGCGTGCCAGATAAATGTTCAAGAGTAGAATGTCTTTAAGAAAATTGCAATTCAATTTGTCTTTAAAGTGTTTTTAAAATTAAAATTTGTCTCCTTCAAAAAAAGCTACTTTAAAATTAATTTCTCCCACTGCCAATCTCCTCTGTATTGGAAGTGTTGAATTTCTGTTCCCCTGCAGTGCTCTGTGGTTCCTCCTACTGGCCCCTCCATTGCTACAAGACAGAATAGTGACATGGCAGCCAGAGGATCAAACCACTGAGTGCAGCAAGGGGCCAGTCATCTGACACTCCTGGAAGTGTTGGATTCTGGAGATTCTTTTGGCGGCTGTTTGTCTTCAACAGAGCAGAAGTGGACAAAAGGGTAGACAGAACCTGGATTTGCTGTGCATAGTAACCAGTCAACTCAGTTGTTAAGTTTGAAAATGAAGCCTAGAAGGTGATTGATTGCCATGCACAGTTGCTCCAGATTCTGTCTGATCCTGTCTTTATAGATTCCCCTCAAAGTATCTTCTTTGCAGGGGACACTTTTTGACAGTGACCTCTTCCCAAAATAATTTCTAATAACTATATGTAGATAATTTGTCTATATACCACAATGGGTACAGCATTCCTGTAGGCTGCAGACTAACTTTTAACTAACAAAGTCCATCCATGTTCCAAAATACTATATAAGCAAGCCAGATATGTTATTGTAGGAATCCAATCAATATCTCACTAAATACCACTGAAATAATTTAATCAATGCTCTACAGAGACTTCTTACTCTAGCCATGTAATATTGAAGATCTGACAAGGGTATAAGAGAGCACAGTGGCAGTGCCAAGGTCTTCATGGCAAGGACTGATGTGTTTCACAGACTGGTTTGGGTGTTTTAATAAACTAAAAAGTATGTGATACTGGCAGGGGCAAACTGACAACTCATGGGGCCCCCGTCAATAGGGGATCATGGGGCCTCTGTGTCCTCGCCCACACTCAAAGCACCCCCAAAAAAGCCTATGAAAGGTACCAGGGGCATCTCATGGGGCCCCCTACTGACCCCGGTCCCTCGGGCAGTGCCCGAGTTCCCAAATGGTCAGTCCGCCCCTGGATGCTGGCCAAAGGCAGGCAGACCTGCCCGTCCTGCCAGGATCTTTTCTCCTTTTATACATATTTAAATATATTGACATACATTCCTGGTTAATTAATGATGCTGTACAAATACTGTATTTCTATTACACTACCAAGAAAAAAAAACACTTTGGTCCCCAGTATATAAGGTTTAGAAGAAACAATGATTTCTTTCAGTTTTTTCCTGATGTGGATGTGAACAATCTATATACACTATAAACACTCTCAAACACCATAATTGCTAGTTTGACAGTTTCTAGGACATTTCTGAAGTTTTCACTGTAATACTCACCTCCTCTCTGGGGCTGTTTCCTCTTCCAAAATGAATTTCGCCCAGCATCATTCATCCCATTCATGAAAGCCCAGGCTGTCATGGACTCATGCCCTGGAGGAGCATCATGGCGATAGCCTGGGTTCATAGTACTTCAGAATTATATTAACAAGTCACTACATGAGACTGTCCACAGACAGTACTGGACAAGAAGAAGGACCAGTAACATTAGGTGACTGGCCAGAAAACTGCTGGATTTAAGCTATGTGTCTTGTTTATTTTTAAATGTGAATAGTGGAATGGGCTTTAGGGTGAGGGTGTAAAAAATCTAGAGTTTGCTTGAAATTGTGGTTTTAGCTTACGTGTACCATAAAGGCCTCATGCACACTAGTTAATTGTATACACTATTTCTCCTGATGGTTTTTCAAACATGTTTAGTTACTTTTAAACGCTGCTGCTTGGCATACACAGCCATTGCATCCATTTACAGAGATCTGTGAATAGAGAGACTACAGAGTGATGAATAGATGTCAATATAGTATGTAGACAATTGATACTTTCTCTAGCCCCCTGACTAAAAGTCCATACCTCTTTACATTCCTGCACTTGGAGGAATAGTCTTGCACCCACAACACTTTGCAAGCTCCAATGCAAAAACTTAATAAATGCATATTTTTCTTTTAAATCAAAGGAAGTGCAAATATATTATATATATATATATATATATATATATATATATAAACCTGATCAATCACTGTTTTTGGTAGAAATGATATTTCTACATGGCAAATAATTTACTAGCAGGTGTAGTAGAGTAATAGAAATCCAACATACCCAACAGTCATGACATGCATGCTGCTGATTCTGTGTAATTGAATCACTAATTGAAAGGGGCATGTTCAAATAATAGCAGTGTGGAGTTCTATTAGTGAGGGCATTCATTCTTTGAAAAACAGGTGGCAATTATTGTCCTTATTTAAGGAAGGAAGGCATCAAATGTTTTACATGCTGGTTACAGTGCATTTCTCTCTGAAATTCTGAGGAAAATGGGTCGTTCCAGACATTGTTCAGAAGAACAGCGTACCTTGATTAAAAAGTTGATTGGAGACGGAAAAACATATAAAGAAGTGCAGAAAATGATAGGCTGCTCAGCTAAAATGATCGCAAATGCTTTAAAATGGCAACCAAAACCTGAAAGACGTGGAAGAAAGCGAAAAACTACCATTCAAATGGATAGAAAAATAGCCAAAATGGCAAGGACTCAGCCAACAATCAGCTCCAGGAAGATCAAAGAAGGTGTAAAGTTACCTGTGAGTACTGTTACAATTAGAAGACGCCTATGTGAAGCCAAGCTATCTGCAAGAAGCCCCCGCAAAGTCCCACTGTTGAAAAAAAGACATGTGCTGAAGAGGTTACAATTTGCCAAAGAGCACATTGACTGGCCTAAAGAGAAATGGCGCAACATTTTGTGGACGGATGAAAGTAAGATTGTTCTTTTTGGGTCTAGTCGCCGGAGACAGTTTGTCAGACGACCCCCAAACACTGAATTCAAGCCACAGTACACTGTGAAGACAGTGAAGCATGGTTGCGCAAGCATCATGATATGGGGATGTTTCTCATACTACGGTGTTGGGCCTATTTATCGCATACCAGGGATCATGGATCAGTTTGAATACATCAGAATACTTGAAGAGGTCATGCTGCCTTATGCTGAAGAGGAAATGCCCTTGCAATGGGTGTTCCAACAAGACAACGACCCCAAACACACCAGTAAACGTGCACCATCTTGGTTCCAGACCAACAAGATTGACGTTATGGAGTGGCCAGCCCAAACCCCAGATCTTAATCCAATAGAAAACTTGTGGGGTGACATCAAAAATGCAGTTTCTGAGGCAAAACCAAGAAATAAGAGAACTGTGGAATGTAGTCCAATCATCCTGGGCTGGAATACCTGTTCACAGGTGCCAGAAGTTGGTTGACTCCATGCAACACAGATGTACAGCAGTTCTCAGAAACAGTGCTTATACAACGAAATATTCATTAAGTGATTCAAAGGAAAGCAAAATCTTCAAACATTTTTCAGTTTATATAGTGAATGTTTGAGTTTGTAAAGAAGAATACAAACACTGCTATTTTTTTGAATAGTCTAATATTCAGTTTTCTTCAATTTTTTTAGAGGAACAGCACAAATTTGCTATATTTTTCTTCATGTTTTGATTTGGAATAGAATGTGTAGTGTTCCCAATGCATTTGTGTGTATGGAAATAAAAGCTATTAGAAGGATTTTGAGCTTTATTCACTTTTTTCAACACACTGCTATTATTTTGAACACAACTGTATATATATATATATATATATATATATATATATTATATAATTATTATTGTGTTTTTATTATTTTTTTATTTATTTTTTTGCAAAAGGTGGAATTATCCATTAGGCTTTAATATTGAAACTCCCAAATGAGTAAAAGTTGATATTTTGTATGTTTACTGATGCTTATTGTTGCCTTGACTGACCTCCTTTAAATTGTCTTTTTTTAACCCCTCTTTTCCTGATTATCGTTACCAGGGATGCTTCAATCCGCACCAGCATTAAACAGCGTATGTTAATTTTAATCAAATCAAAGCAATTTATGATAAAAATAAAATTTTTTTCTATATTTACATTCTATAATATATTACAGGATTACATTGCACACAGAGTCCTCTTCTGCATAAGCAGTTGTGCATTTATTTGCGTTAGCGAACATCTGTCAGATTGTACAGACAATAAAGACAACGTGGCACTAAATAAAACATACCTGTCACCGAGGCTGCCTGCAGTCCCCGGTGAGAGGTACAGACATCCTGCATATCATTGCTTTGTAGCCTCTGCACACGCACTGCAAACAAGACGATCAGGTGCAGAGCACTGTGCGGGAGAAGTGTAATCATTCTCGCAGAAAAATCAAACGCTTCAGATCATCCTATGCCAATGTTATATGAGGTTTCAACTGGAGGGAATTTAACTCCACAGATTATCTACTGGTAGAGCTCTGCTGACATACACACAACTTGCTTTTGAAGCAGAATATATTTATTCACTCTTAATCCCGCCACATTCTACTAAGGAAAGAAGAAGGAGCCTCACAGATAATCGCAACCTTGTAAAAAAATTCTCATTCAGACTTTTTTTTTTTCTTAAAAAGCAATTTCCCATAGTTCCAGTTATATATTTTTACATATGGTTAAGGATATTTTTTTTCTTCTTAGTAAATCTGTCATAATATGAGGAAAGACCACTGTGCTGAAGTATTTGGAAACAAGGTGGAAAATCGTTTGACTTTAAAAATTCATGTTGAGAAGGCAACGGTGTAAAAAACATTTGTTTTATAGCCTTTTATTGTACCTCCAACTTTGGAGCAGGAGGCGGCATAGAGTTGGATGTTCCTGGCACTGCTATGTGATTGGGCACTGATGATAATGATTCGAAATGGCTGTGTTGCAACAACAATGGATTTGGTATATTGTAGAATTAATTCCACACTAAGAATAAATGGCTCTTTTCATTTAAAGCAGAACTAAAGCAAAAAAAAAAATAAAATAACTAAAAGCTCATTAAAAGATAAAATAACAAAAGCAAATGTTGCTGCAATATGCAACTTAAATCTAGATATATTTCCTGCATGATTTTATATGCATTTTGATGCCCTCAAACTGACGGCCAACATAATTCAACTCAGTATCTATGTAGAACCCTCTTACGTAGGTTGCAAGAAAAGTTAGGTAAACTTAGTTCTTCTTGGCTCCCCTGTAATTTGTGGAGCAGCTTGTGATTGCTTTGGTCCATTCTAGGCTTCACTGACTGCAGGTTTGATTGTTTCCCCCCTACTATCTGGAGGATTCTAGAATGTAGTGGGTTGGAAAAGCCAAATCAGCAGCCTGAATATTTATGTTGTCTCAGCCAATCCCTGGGGAAAGAGGGGGGGGCATGCCCAGTAGGTGCCTGGGGAGTGCATAAATAGTATGGGGCCCGAAACAGCTAGGGTTCTTGTCCAGGAGGAGAAGTTCCCAGCCTGAAGGGCTACTGCCCTTCTGGGCGGTGCAGCTGAAATTCTTACAGGAGATCATCAAAGTCCCAGCTATGCTAGAGCTGGGGAAGGGGGGGCTGTTTTTCTGAAACTTGCTAGAACTGACTAAGAGATTTGAGATTTCTAAAGAGTTCACAGGAGAAATGTCTGTCTGATATTGGAAGGAGGCATCCAAATATCCATGAACATTGTGAGTACAGACCTGAGTGATCCTAGTGACTCTACTACTCTCCCTTAGACATCAGTGCCAGACCTTAGCTGAAATTAGGATCACTTTGTACAGTGTCTCAAGAGTTACGTATTCCTTTAGCTGCTACTAGATAAAATCAACTAAGAAGCATTGCCAAAGGGGCAAAATGTCCTCATATTACCCTACAGGATTTTTGTAGTATCCCACAGCTCCCCTCACCCCATCCAGGTTCAATTTTCAATAAAGCATCAAAAAAGACAAATCCCTATACTGTTCAATAAGCTGGAAAGAGTGATTGTTGCTCTGTGCCTGACTGCCCTTGTACTAGTCTGAGAGAAGAACCTGTGGCTAATTAGCTGGCT